CCCCCCCCACTGCCTTGCTCTAGGGAGTCGTTTTTTTGTGTATATGATTCTGTGTTTGAGTAAATTTAGGAGCTGATGAAATAAAGCTGATTCTGTAGGTAGGTAGATGGGTGGGTTGTCGGGTGGATAGATACGTTGATAGATAGATAGATAGATAGATAGATAGATAGATAGATAGATAGATAGATAGATAGATAGATAGATAGATACTTTATTGATCCTTTGTAGGAAATTAGACACTCCCACATTTGTTTATCAATACTTATTTACTTGCTACTTAAAAAAACAAAAAAATTGTACAACCTAAAAAAAATACAAGCTTTTTAATTGAGCTGCATGTAATGACTCCCAATTCACCAGCTCCATGTCAACGGTTTACTGTCTGTTAGCAAAATATCACAATAACCACTGGACAGATTATAATGAAACTTTCAGACAATAATTAGTGGCTACAACTAAATACAATTTGGAGTCAATCCAAATCAAGACTAATATGACTGTAACTCAGTCAGTTTTACTTATATCTGTGCTGCCTTATTTTTAAGATTTGACCAAAACAGCTACAACTTAAAGCAATCATAGTCCAAAATCTTGGCATGGAAGGCTGTGGGTGATATGCATTCCTTCAAGGAATGATAAGACTTACATTTTCGACAAAATTAGATTTTTAGGAGGTGAACAGAATTTGCTTTATGGTTGTTAACTGCATTGTTTCTATTGCGTTGTTGCACTTCAGCTAATCATCCCCAGCATCAGATGGAAAATTCTGCATTCATATGTTATTCTCGTCTTCTCCCAAACTTGATGCATTTTTTGTTGCTCGTGTCAAACCTTTACGACAAATGAGAATCAGCAAGTGCCTTGGCCTACTTTCCAAAACCGTCGAGGAGCAAATAATCAGCCCCGGCTAAGGATTTGCTTGGCAGTCGTTCAAACACGGCTGCTTGTGAAGCATCTTTCTGTGCAAGTAATGGGATTCACTGAGAGACTTCCTGAGAGGCTGTGTGCTGTTCCTCTCAGCTGGGACCTCTACTGCCACCTACAGGACAATCCTGGGACAGACAGCTGGGTCTGCTGAGGGGAAATTAACAAATCAGTTTTGATGCTGTTTAGTGGAAATAGAAAATTTAAATATGAAATTTAAGGACTGATTATTTCAAACATCAAGACTATATTATGTTTCCTGTATCTGTGTAAATATATGCGTCTGTTAGCAAAATATCTCATCAACTGTTTAGCATATTGATGAGGTCGTAGCTGAAAGTTAACTTAAAAACGCAGCGAGCAGTTTAAGCCTTTAATTTATTTCAATTTAACATGTTTTATGAATTATTCTTCCTTTCTGGTCCCCGGTGTAATTGTACAGCTTGGCGTGAAGATTATTTTCCCCGTAACCATTTTCATTTTTCTTTAATTAAACCTTTCATTGGACAGAGACACGAGCCATTATGCCCTGTATATTTCATGAGGACAGACTGTATGATGACTAATTCCTTATGCTGACCTTTTTTCAATCACTGCCTGCTGGCAAGGCTGTGAGAAGTGATTCCCTAACATATTTATCTCATCTAAAGCACACCTCATACTTAATCCTAACGGCCTTTTCATTATCCCTTTAGTCGAGCAGCACGAAGGTTATACTGTCTCTCAGCAGCGTTTGAAGTAGCCTCGTGTTAGATCCTGCCTTTATGCACATTACGTTTAAATAGTTGAAGCCACATTAAACTGAAAATGCCCTCATCACTCTTTCATGCTATAGCTTCCTGTTTTGACAAGCTAAAAGCTAAAAGTAGCAGAAGGCTGGCTAAAAGCTAAAAAAATATCAAAAGCGGTAAAATTGTAGCTAAAAGGTAAAAGTAGCAAAAAAGCTAGCTAAAAACTAAACATCAAAAATAGTAGAATAGTAACTAAAAGCTAAAAGTAGCTAAGTGCTAACTAAAAGCTAAAATATCAAAAGTAGTAAAACTGTAGCTAAAAGATAAAAGTAGCAAAAAATATAAAAGCTAAATATCAAAAGTAGCAGAATAGCAAAAGGTAACAGTGACTACAGATGTAAATTAGCCTTGGGCTAAATCTGGGGCAATGCGTCAAATGTTTTTATGGTTGTTTTAATTGCACACTGTCCCGACTAAATAAACAAATTCAGAGTAACAAAAATTTAGCTAAAAGCTAAAAATACTGTTTACGTTCATCTTTAATACAAACTTAATAATCCTGCTTGTGTTTCTCTGTGCAGGTAGTTTCATCACACGGGTAAAAATGTTTTATTTTGCTCTAAACATGCTGACTCAAACTGTCCGAGGCCTGTTTTTCTGTTATTTTCTTTCTGCTTCTCTTCAGCTTTGCCGTCAGGGAGTGAGAGAAAGGGTTACCATGGTGACCACGATGAGCTGCCGCAAGAACATGAAGTTGGTTACAGTTCACGGCTGCAGCACTTTGAGCTTATTAAGAAAGCAGCTGCCGAAGCCTTCGACACGCCTTTTTAAAAGCGAAGTTAAAAGTCAATAATTTTTAATGGAAATTAGAAATGCAAAGATTTTGTTGTTGACTTCTCGAGAACAAAGATGTTTGTGTAACTTTGCACATCAATCAGATCCGATCTCCAGCTCCTCTGCATCGGTAATTATGCTTCCAGAGAAATGCATTGCTTTGTTTTTTTATTCTTTGAAACTCTTGGTATAATTCTTACACGCTGCCTCCTCTGTATGATAATAAGATCCAATTAAAATCACTTCACAAATCAACCCAGAGAGGTTTTCTCATCAGCTCAGGAATCTGAGAGCTTATTTTGAGAACGGGGTTTGTTGCCAGTAGATGGCAGTGTTGCCTCACTGTGTCTAACCAGAACACAGTTAATCAGATAAGGAGAAGGTCAACTGACTCTGCTGTGAGATCTGCTGGGAGAAAAGGGAAAAGATCCATTTCCACCTGAGCAAAATGAAATCAAAAGCCTCCTGGTTTTAACTTTAAGTCCAAACCATCTCTTCTTCTGGGTGATGTAAAGAGGGCAGAGTAGAGCTCTGGTAACTATAAATAGTTTAAATGTCTAACATCTGTAAATAAGTTGTATAAATTAGAAAGAGGAATGGGGAGAGCTCTATGTTTTGGCATTAGGAAGGACCCATTTGTTACGTTGGATAGAAAACAGGGCTGAACGCCAACGTTGTTTGTTTAACATGAAGCCAACGGGAATTCCTTTGGTTCTCCTCAGACCTGTGAGCCTTTTTTATTGGCTTGTGTGGGATTTGGGCAGGAAACCAGAGCTAATGCCCCCCTCTCCCACTTCAAACGGATGCCAGGCACCCTTAAATGTCATGGGGTGGTTAGAAAGTTGAAGAAGGTGGGAGGGGAGGGAGGGAGGAGGGGGAGGCTGAAGAGTGAGAAGTGGTGGCTCGCGGAGGTGAAAGAGAGAAACCCAGCCACGCCGGACTCTCTCCTCTGAGCTCATCAGTGGATGGAGGTCTGCTGAAAGCGCTAAGCCGAACCAGATGCAGGGTCTGGTTGTACTAGTCCGTGTCAGGTACCGGACCAACCTGAGGCGTCGGACGCTGCTGTTCAGACTCGCTGCAGATGTTTTAATGCTGCACTCATTATTGCTTTTATTTATCTTGTTGTTTTTAAAAACTATTTTTAAACAAAAACAAAACTGACTGAACAACATTACAGATTAAAGAACGTCTCCTGTGACCACAGCTGCACCGATTCTTCACAAAGTTCAGAGTTGCATCAAAACCTTTAAGATCAAGGTATCGTTTTTATCAAATTCAAAATTATTTGACCTTTTTTGAGTTTTTTTTTTAGAGACATACGATGCTTCCAAATCATTTTTTTCACATTTAAGGGAAGTAGATCTGTGTCGCCATCTTGGTAGGTGCTTCGTTAGTGTCAGTATGGCAGCAGATCACAGATTGTGTGCCCTGAATCAGGCATGGGGCCGGTGTCAAAAGGACCAAAACCAACTTGGTAAAATGGGGGCCAGCCTGTGAATATGGTCACCAAATCCAGAACATGGACCATCTTTTAACTTCCTGCACTCTAATAGTCCGTAAAATATCTGGAGACCTGTGTCTGGTGAAAGAAAGAGCAAAAACATGTCTGTCTTTCTGCTGTGACACAATATGATGATGATTCATTCATTAATAAACACTTAGTTGATATCAGTTTTCATGTATGTGCAGACCTTTGCTGGTAAACGTCACTTTTTACGACTACAATAAGGCTAAAGCAGTGTTTCCCAACATGGGGGGCACCAGAGACCACATGGGAACCTATATCTTATCTGTTCAGAGGATATAAAAACATTAATGTATTGTTTGTTTATAAAAATTCACAAAAACTTCGAATAATTAAAACTATTAATCAGTTTTCCTTTCTTTTTTTCCTTTTCCCAATGAACGTGTCTTAGTTTAGGATCCACTGGGTCGGAGGAAACCTCATGCTTTTAAATCCTTTTTTCCCCCATTTAAATCCTTCAGTTGGGGGGTCTATATGAAGTGATTCCTCCTTATTGTAACTCCACAAGCCCCTCTTTCATTCTTTTCTGAGGTGCATTTCAGATCAGCTCGTTTTGAGGCTGCCTCTTCAAGCCCCGCCCCCTCCAGCTTCCAGAGAGGTCCGTTCTAGTTTGATAGAGGGTTTTCCAACTACATAATGTTTTATTTATAAACTAATTAAACTAGTTAATTAAACGTTAGTTGCGAAAACATCACAGAAAATAAATAAAACTGAACTGGTTGAAAAATATGAACCAAACAGAATATAAGGATTTCTACGCAGCACAGAGAGAAAATAAATTAAACTTTTTGCACTCCTAGAGATTCTAAGCTCACAACAAAATGTATTAAACAGCTAAAAAAATGAATTTTGCATGATATATCCCCATTAAATAAAGTAAGTCTGTCTTTTCAGTTGAAATCAGCTACTATCATCTTAAGAACATGTCAGGAATTAAGGGATTCTTGTCTAAACAGGACAGAAAAGCCAGTGCATGCTTTAATTTTTAGTAGATAAGGTTATTGCAATAATATTTTTACAGCTGCCAATAAAAAAAGCAGCTGCAGCTCATTCCCAGTCCTGACCAAACCCAGGAAATCGGCCCTTAAGCCAGCTGCTGTCATGTTTGATAGATATATTTGAAAGTCTGATTGTTGGTTTATAGGACCCTGAATGTGTCTCAGAGGTACAGGTCAGGTGTGAGGACCCATCAAGTCTTCAGGGACAGGTTTACGTTGTGATCCCAGACCCAGAGGCAGCAGGTAAATGTGCAGAAACTTGACTGGTAATAATAATAATAATAATGTTTGGAGGAGTTCTGGGCACTGCTGGTCAATCTTCTGGTTTCTCTCTACTCCTGCCAGCCGTGATGTTTATAAGATTTTCTCATTTTCTCCAGTGTTAATTTGTTTCCCTGAAGGCAGCCATGACACATTCTCTCCTTCTTTTCTTGTCTTTGTGTGGCTTTATTTTACAGACCTATGAAATTCTCTCTCTCTGCAGAGAATAAAAGAGCTGAAATCGTACGTTTATAGATATTTTTGACAAGAYGGATGATCATCTTTTAAACTCTTCTCCTTCTCTTAGTGTGTCTGCACCCTGTCATTGCGCCGCCGYGCCGCTTCTAATAACTTCTCGCTGCATTGTTTGGCTTCCTGAGGTTTGTTATTATGGTTGATTTGTGTCACTGGTCGGATGAACATGTTGCAGCGCAGTCTAAATAAATTTCTCATGCCTGTGACTAAAGCCTTGGCCGTCGCAGCTTGCCAGCGCGAGGCTCCTCCCTCGCTGTGGCTTCGTTAGGCGAGCACAGAATGCCGCCTCTGTCATCGTCGGGATTAGAAGAGGCTCGTTTGGGCTTTGATTTGAAAACCCATCGAGACACTAATGTGTCGGTGACTGACCTGTGACCTTTCTCATCATGTGGCGAGTAAAAGTGATCTCTCGTCCTCTCAGGGCGCTGTGGGACCCTTTGGGGGTCCGGGTCAGGTTGTGGTTGTGTTTATGCAGGCCTTTTTTTTCAGACGTGTATGATTTACTGCCACTTATCAAACAGAAAAAAAAGACTTCCAAAGATTTATTTATCATAATGCAGCTGCTCCTATATTTTTAGATTATTCTAGTGATGAATCTGCAGAAAGGAAAGGAAATGCAAACCTTTTGGTCTTTAAGATGTGACTAAAGGTTATAGATGTAAACAGGGTTCCCATGGGTCCTTGAAATCATTGAAAGTTCGTGAATTAAAAAAAAGATTTTAAGGCCCTGGAAAGTTTGTGAAAACAGCGAAAAATTACACTTGTCCTTGAAAGTCCTTGAATGTTTTTTGGGGATTGAAGTTCTCTATTCACACGATAATAATAATAATAATAATAATAATAATAATAATAATAATAATAA